ACATACCCCCCCCCCCCCCCCCCCCTTGCGGCCCTAAAAAGAGAAAGGGGAGAGAGGGTGTGCCTATATGTCCTTGAACCACTCATGCTTCAATGCCTCCCACGCGGTGATCCTTTTCGCTGGGTTGAAATTTGTCATTCGACAAATCAAATCCTTAAATACAGGGTCGACGCCTTTCCACAAAGCAAACGGCCTTCGAGGATTCTCTTTGTTGAAACCATTACGAGTGACCTTAAAGATCTCAGCCCAGGGACTCTCACGAATGTGCTCCAGGAACTCCTGAATACTCTCAGCATCCGCGAAGTATGATATCTGCCGCTCAATAACGTGGGCTAAGATCTCTTCCCCTTCACCAAGTTCGCTTTCGTCGACTGCGAATATAAGCCGTCTGTGAACAGCGTAAATGCACTAGTTACAAGAGAGGTTTAGTATGAATGTAGTATATTTATGGGGACGTAAATAATACTGACCACGATTGCAAAAGAGAAGATATCAGAGGGTGAGTTCATGGGCCCCTCAGCATGCGATTCTGGACTCCGCCACATCCAGTTGCCCAGCTGTCTCCCTGCGATCTCACTCCCTGGAGGCACAACTGCAGCATCCTCAATATCACTTAGCCGGACGTCCGTTACTACACCGCCCTGTCGATCCACTAGAATGTTGTTTGCCTTCATATCTAGGTAATATTAGCCTAACGAGCTAAAGATAATAAACGGGAGAAGCTATCTCCAAGATCGCGTACCATTGTGCACTATGTGATTGTCATGCAGCACAGCAAGCCCCTGAAACGCATCTCGAAGAATTCGCTTAGTCGTTTTTAACGGCAGGTCTACTTGAGTGACCAGACTCAAAAGATCGTTCGTCAGGTATTTATAAACAAACATTGAGCGCTCGGCCATTGAATCTTGTGGTAAGCGGAGGTAAGGACAGCCCTCTATCTTTTGATAGATTTCTTGGAGATACTCAAAATCAGGCACATCTTTAAGGACAAAATTCTCCTTTTCAGATCCATCGGATAAATGAGGTTAGTATAGAGAACATAGAAGAGTCAGCACATGTATCTCTACATACCGAGCAACATAAACCTGCAAAGGCGAATTTTCTTTTTCTTGGAGCACCCGTTCGATGACATAGCGACGACCAGACTTGCCGGCTATCTCTCTGCCCTGAGGTATCATCTTTCCAGTGGGTGCAAGTGAAAACGTTTGTGTACTCGAGACGCGGTTTGGTTGAGGGAATACTCGATTGTAGAAGTGTGGTATAAAATGCCGAGACGAAGTTTGTATGGAGATTTGAGGTGCCTTGTAGGCATGAAGAAACGTCGACAAGATCCGTGGTAAATACATGAGCGAATCTGTATTAATACTTTGTTCTTCTAGTTATATAGCTTTCCAGAGACCGACTGATATATCCAGAGAGAGCCCCAAAGTCTTGCACGAGAGAGTCAGCGTGAGATAACTTCCAGTTGAATATCCCTTCTAGATAAAACCTAGAAGACAAATAACGTAGCTCTCCCTATACGGAGTGCTAGCCAGCCAAAAGGGTATCGCTCTGGGATGACGTTGGGCTGTTATCGTGAAGTCCGCCACCTCTACTTCCTACATCTTGTTATCATGTCCAAGCCAACTTCTTCTGCAAGAAAGAAGAAATTGGCGACTTTGTCCCTCAAGCCCGGGTGGTCTAGTTGGCTATGATTCTCGCTTAGGGCCTTAACCCTAAGTACTTTTATGCGAGAGGTCCCGCGTTCGAATCGCGGCTCGGGCCCTGACGAAAGGTCCTTTTCGGTCAATTTTTTTTGGGCATGAAAGAGAGACATGGCGGCAGCTTTGGCAGTTTACTTTTGTTGGTGCTTGTAATTTTGGTTCGTGTTGGGGGGACCAAGTCGGATGGCAGACCGCTCAGGAGGTTGGCTGCATGGATACAAAGAAGAAAAATTGTGATGAAAGAAAATGGAAAATGACGGAATTGATGCTGCATGTGTTATGTATGTAGTATGATTTGGACATGTTTCCAAAGGGGGTAATGGATGAGCTAGTAGCTCGAGGAATATAGAGCTGATTCCTATGGCTTTGTCAAGAGGTGTGTTATTGTAAATTTGTAAATTGGTCATTGAGATATAATTAGGTTGTACACTTCTAAGCACGAGACAATATATATGCATCATTGTAGTTATGCATTTTCGGATTGTACCGTTTGCTACACCAATACCCATAGTCAGTAACTGGAACAAATGATGTATACAGAAGCAAGGGGTGTCTTTAAATGAGGTTCCTCCACTTACCACTAGCCAGTCCATTCCTTCATTGATACCCTTCCCATCGATGGCAGAACATGCCACTATACTCCAATTTCGGTCTC